GGGCAAAAACTAAACCCATTTAGAAGAACAGGAGCAAGATAAAGATGCCCACTTTCACCACTCCTGTTTGACATAGTACTTGAAGTACTAGCCATAGCTATCAGACAAGAAGAAGAAATAAAAGGCAATCAAATTGGGGGGAAAAAGATGTAAAACTGTCCTTATTTGCAGATGACATAATATTGTACATAGAAAACCCTAAAGACTCCATCAAAAAAACTGCTAGAATTAATAAATGAATTTGGCAATGTAGCAGGATACAAAATTAACACCCAGAAATCTATGGCCTTTTTATATACCAATAATGAACGCACAGAAAGAGTAATGAAAAAAATAATTCCATTTACCATTGCACCAAAATAATAATAATAATAAGATACTAAGAATAAACTTAACTAAGGACATAAAAACCTGTACTTGGACAACTACAGGACCTTGAAAAAAGAGATAGAGGAAGACATAAGCCAATGGAAGAACATACCATGTTTATGGATTGGTATAATCAAGATCATTAACATGTTCATACTACCTAAAGCAATCTATAGATTCAGTGCAATACCTATTAAAATACCAATCCATACAGTGGAGTCAAACAGTCTCTTTAATAAATCATCTTTATCTTACTCCTGTTCTTCTAAATGGGTTTAGTTTTTGCCCATTGAATATATTGTTGGCTGTAGGTTTGTCATATAGGGCTTTTATTATGTTGAGGTATGATCCCTCTATTCCCATTTTGCTGAGAGTTTTTATCAAGAAAGGATGTTGGATTTTGTCAAATGCCTTTTAAAGAGACTGCTTGGAAATTTGGTCAGATATATGCAAAAAATGAAACTAGATTACCAATTTACACCATAAACAAAAACAAACTCAAAATGGCTAAAGTACTTGAATGTAAGATGGGAAACCATAAAAATCTATAAGACTCCATAGGAAGCAAAATTGCAGACATTAGTCATAGCAATATCTTTACAGACACAGGTCCTAGGGCAAGAGATACTAAGGAAAAGTAAACAAATGGGACTACATCAAAATAAAAAGCTTCTGCACAGCAAAAGAAACATCAACAAAACAACAAGAAAGCTTACTGCATGGGAGAATATATTTGCCAATGTTATCTCCAATAAAGGTTTAATCTCCAACCGTTACAGAGTACTCATACAACTTAACAAAATGAAGATAAATGGGCAAAGGATCTAAATAGACACTTTTTTTAAATTTTTTTTAAATTTTTATTTTATTTTATTGATTTTGTACAGAGAGGAAGGGAGAGAGATAGAGAGTTAGAAACATCGATGAGAGAGAGTCATCGATCAGCTGCCTCTTGCACACCCCCTATTGGGGATATGCCCGCAACTAAGGTACATGCTCTTGACCGGAATCGAACCTGGGACCCTTCAGTCCCCAAGCTGACACTCTATCCATTGAGCCAAACCGGTCTCGGCTAAATAGACACTTTTCAAAAGAGGACATTTAGAAAGCCAAGAGACATATGAAAGCATGCTCAAAGTTACTAATCGTCTAAGAGAGATGTAAATCAAAACAACAATGAGGTACTACCTCACACATGTCAAAATTGCTATCATCAACAAACAACAAGTGCTGACAAGGATGTGGAGAAAACGAACCTTCCTTCACTAATGGTGGGAATGCAGATTGGTGTAGCCATTGTGAGAGAAAGTATGGCGTTTCCTCAAATATTTAAAAATGGAACTGTCATTTGACCCAGTAATACCACTTCTAGGAATATATCCCAAGAAAACAGAAACACCAATCAGAAAGGATGTATGCACCTCTATATTCATCACAGCACTATTTACAATAGGTAAGATTTGAAAGCAGCCTAAATGCCCATCAGCAGATAAATGGATTAGAAAACTGTGATACATCTACACAATGGAATACTATGCTGCTGTAAAAAAGAAGGAATTCTTACCATTTGCAGCAACATGGATGGAACTGGAGAGCATTATGCTAAGTGAAATAAGCCAGCCAAGGAAAGAAAAATGCCACATGATCTCAATCATTTATAAATAATAAAGAAAATTATAACCTGATGAACCAAAATATAGATACAGAGGCAGAGAAGCATCGAACAGACTATCAAATTACAGCCGGAAGGCTGGGTTGTGTTTGGGACGGGTTAAGAGATCAGCCAAAGAACTTGTATGCATGCATATAGCATAAACAATGGACACAAGGCAGTGGAGGAGTGAGTGAGAGCATGTGCCGGGGTGAGGGGTGGGGGGTAACGGAGATCGGGGGGAAGGTTAATGGGGGAAAAAGGAGACAAATGTACTACTATTTGTTATACTTTAAACAATAAAAGAATAGTATCATAGTCATATAAGCATGAACAGACTGTTGAACCTCAGAAAGAAGGCCGGGGAGGGTTGGTAGGAAGAGATCAGCCAATGAGCTTGTATGCATATATGCATAACCTGTGGAAACAATGGAGTGGTGAGGACCTGGGGAGAAGGGGGTAGACGGGAGTGGGCTAGAAGAGGTTAATTGTGGCAGGGAGGAGGTGGGGGGCCTCACGCCGAAGGACTTGTGTAATACTTTCATCAATAAAGATTAAAAAAATATATTCAGTGCCAGAAGCAGGAGACAGCAAGACAGAGATTATAAACTCCTTGCTATTCATATGTGTCCTCTGCATTGTCTAATGCACATAAGAGGACACCGAGATTGTGACTGTGCCATTTCTTTTCTTAATAACTAGAGAGAGGCCCAGTGCACAAATTTGTGCACCAGTGGGGTCCCTTGGCCTGGTCTGCAGGATTGGGCCAAAACTGGCTCTCAAACATCATCTGAAAGGTCCCAGATTGGAAAAGGGCTGAGGGACCCACTGGTGCATGAGCGGGGCTGGAGAGGAACACAGGAGATTAGCCAGCTGGGGAGGGACTGCAGGAGGGCTCCAGGGTGTGTCCAGCCTGTCTCGCTCAGTCCTGATTTGCTGGACCAAAGCAGCAAGCTAACCTACCAGTTGGAGCGTCTGCCCCATGCTGGATATTGCACATTATACCGTGTTTCCCCGAAAATAAGACATCCTCCGAAAATAAGACCTACTTACAGGTTTCCTTCTGAGTGAAATATAAGGCATCCCCCGAAAATAAGCCCCCCCCACCCAGGCTAAACATGAGAGGTTTGGTCTACTGATTCTGAAAGAAATGGAGTCACAAGAAATTCACCAGGAAATTCAGGAATTGGATTGTTATGATGATTTTCCAGAAGATGATGACATGATTGTCATTGAATAAATGAGTAAATTCTTGATACTACAGGATTCACAGTTTGTCTGGTTTGTGTTGACAACTATCGTACTACCCTACCGTATACAGGTAATAAATTTCCTTTATTTTCATTTAAAATAAATGTGTACCGTATTCTTCTTCATGGAAAAATAAGACATCCCCTGAAAATAAGACCTAGCACATCTTTGGGAGCAAAAATTAATATAAGACACTGTCTTATTTTCAGGAAAACAGGGTAGTGAGCGGTTGAGCAGCCTTAGCTTATCATTAGCATATTACACTTTGATTGGTTGAATAGAGGACCAGACACTTAGTATATTAGGCTTTTATTATATAGGATATATTTTTTAAAGAGTGGGCTGCTTCTCCTCAATTGTTGGAGAGTTGGCCCGGGGAAATGAAGGATCTTGGGTTTGATTTCAGCCAAGGGCATGGTCGTTGGTTGCAGGTTCAATCTCCAGCTGGATAACTTAGGACTTGAGGAGGAAGGCAATCAGTCGATGTTGTTTCTCTTTTTGTGTCTCTTCCCCTCCCTTTCATTATCTCTAAAAAATCAATGGAAAAAACATCTTCCAGTGAGGTTTAACAACACTAAGAAAAAAGTGAGCCACTTCTGAGTGGTATCAATTCTGAGGACCTAGTTTACTTGCAATAAATATCTAACACAATCTGTGTCTTTTCCAAATGTTTCCTGGTGTTTCACACTCAGAGCAATCTCAAGCTTAACATCTAGTCTAGAGCAGAGGCAAATGGGTCAGCTGAAGAAAGTTGATTTAAATTTGAGTTTAAGGTTCTTCTACAAATGCTGTTTTAAACAAGGTCATTGCTTAACTACAACAGTATGATAATGCAAAAATGATTTCTACCATAGAAGGAAAATGCAGTGCTTTGAGAACCAGACAAAGCAGTTTAGTACAAGGCAGTTAAGTACATTTCTGGGGTACCTGGACCTTTTGGAGGACTGATTTTCTTATACACAGGAGCAAATTGAATAAGTCCTATGTGGCTTTCTTCTATTTTCACTTCTGCAATAAATGCCTTTTCTATGAAGAGCTCCTGGCTCAGTATGTTGGCATTTCTTTCCTTTTTTTAATTTTATTGATTTTTTTACAGAGAGGAAGGAAGAGGGATAGAGAGCTAGAAATATCGATGAGAGAGAAACATCTATCAGCTGCCTCTTGCACACCCCCTACCAGGGGATCTGCCCGAAGCCAAGGAACATGCCCTTGACCGGAATCGAACCTGGGACCTTTCAGTCCCCAGGCCGACGCTCTACCACTGAGCCAAACGGTTTCGGCCAAATTATCCTCTTTACTCTGAAAAGCTAATAAGGAACAAGGGGCAAGTAACAGTAACCATCAGAGTGGATATAAGATTTGTTGGTCTTATATCTCTGCTGGTAACAATTCTTCTTGGGTCTTAGGCTCCGTAAAGAAGTCTCTGGGGTGAGCGGTAATGGGTGAAGGTGGGTGATGGAGGGTGGCGAGGGGTGCTGGGAGGAGTGGGTACGGGCAGGAGAAATGAAGTGACTATCGTTGATAGACCCTGCACGGTGGTCCCAGAGAGGGGCTTGGTCTCAGACAGAGACCAAGGAAGACATAGAAGACAACCAGGCCAGGGGTCATGGGCTCTGGCTGCGAGGTGCCTGCAGCAAATTTCCTCCCAAGTGAGCGCGTGGTGGGCTGCGCTTCAGCTTGGCGCAGGCTCCCTAAGCTGCCCGGCGGGGCGGCACCGCGAGCAAGACGGCTGGCAGCTTTCCAGGTCGGCGCACTAATATGGGAGCTGAGTCTTGGAGGCTCCAGCCTGACTGACGCCGGCTGGGGCTGGGACTGGGGCTGGGGCCGCTGCCACCGCTGCAGCCGCAGATTTGGTCCCCAACTCCAGCGTGGAGACAGCAGCCACGGGGCGCGCGCAGCCAGGCCGTAAGTGCTCGGGTGCTCGGAGCTGGCGGCCGGGGACCCACCGCGGGATGGGGAACAGCCAGACTTGGGGTGGGGAGAGGAATGAGTGCCGACAGGGGAGCAGGTAACACGTGAGCTCCCCTGCGCAAGCCGGGAGAGCGCGTGCGAGTGTGGGTATGCTTTTCCAGCTTAAGGGAAGCCTTGAGGCTGTTGGTGTGTGGGTATTTCTTGACGGAGCCTGTCTGGGTGGGCTGGGGAATGGGGTCCAGGAGCCGGAGTGGGCAGCTCCTGGGAGTTGACAGAGTGCTCTGCTCTCTTCTCCAGGCCGCAGCCGCCCAGCTGCTGGCACCTGGGACCTGTCCGAGGATGCTTCTCTCTTGGCGGATGTCCGCTGTGCACGGCTGTGGCCCAGGACGTGGGCAGGAATGCGGGCTTGCTCTTCGCTCCTGGGGCTGGCACCGCGCGGGGGCGCAGCCCAAGGACCTGGGAGCTGAGTAACCATTTGCTGTGACTGGAGTGTGTGTGGTGGGTGGGACAGTGGAGAGATGGAGGTGTGATTCACCTGGCCTCTCGGACTTTCTGTCGCCTAGATTTTTTGCTCTGCTTACCTTTGAGGCTGAAGAAGTGTGGTGCGGCAAAGTTAGGACCGTTCTTCAAGTGTCTCTGGACTATCGCTTAGATTGTGTTGAGAACTGGGATGTTTATCTTTCCCCTCGCCTTCCATTGGGTGCCAACTCTCTACAGAGAGGAGAGTGGCGAAGTCGGGAACAGATACCAGAGACTAAGTGACGCCAGCATTGTGATGGGAAGGAAGAGGAGGGGAAAGGAGCTGACAAGTCTTCCAGTTCCTATTCCTTCCTCCTCCCACCCTCTACAGTGGTAATTTGAAGTGATAGTTTAGAAATACTCTGTTGACATGTTTCTGGGCTAGAACTGGTACTCCTAAAAAATAACCTACAAATGATGTAAATCTAGTTTGGAATAAACTTGCATGTAAATTCTTTACCCAGTAATTCGCAGACACACCCTCAGAGCAACGTGGATTGCTTTCAATTAGTTCAAATATTTACAAATATTGTTTCAGTGCCCTGCCTAATTTATCCAGTGGCCTTTTGGAAATGTGGGTTAGGGAGAATAATAGAGGATAACTGTAAAGTCATAAGGCATTTATTTAATAATGCTACCTCCTTGGCCTTAAGCATTTGGGGCATCCTTCTGGGTGAGTGAAATGTTAATACTATAGGTTTCTGCTTCAAGATTCCTGTTGTTGAAAGGGAATGCCATTGGATGTTTACATTTTTAAACAGTGATCTATATTTAAAAAGAAAGTAAAGTAAAACCCAAATAAATCCTCATAACTCCAGATAGACAATCCAACACTTGAGTTTCCCTGTGCTTGTAGAAAACCATGAACAAGATTTTGGACCACTTTCAAGTCTGTGGTTATCCAAGAAGGACACTGCAGAAACGGAAATGATGTAATAGTTTACAAATAAGGAGCACTTTAAACATAATATGACATAAGTTTCAAATAATAGAAACAACTTTTAGTGATAATAATTGCCTTCATCCATGCCAAGTCAACTATTCTGACACAACCAATTCCCTTTTTTATGCTTGACTGGCTAACTTTGTCAGAAATGTTTTGTGCTTTAGCTCCCTGGTTTTGTAACCAGACAACCAAGGGGTCTGGGCTGACTGTCACCACTTGAGCCAATTAAGCAGAGACTGGGTTGAATCATATATGAGCACTTATTCCAATACTGCCGGCAGTATGGGAGAGCAGCAGGTCATCCATAAAAATCTGTCTATCCTCCCATGCCAGTTGGCTAGTTATTACACACCTGGGAGAAGAGTTACATACAGCTGGGACCTAAAATGTACCATGGAAAGGGGAGGATAGAGTCTGCAGTCCCACCTTCAGGAGCTCAAAGTTTGATAACCAGGTGGCTAATCTACGATGTTACAAACAGCTCAGCCTGTTCCTGGGACTGGAAAATGGTCAGCATTCCAGGTCAGCATACCAGAGGAGGTCAGGGTCCAGGTGCAGCAACCAAATCAAAGCATGCCCTGTCCTTGGTCTGTTCTCAAAATGTTATTTCTTTTCTGATTAATGGACCCATGGAGGTGTCTTATTTTTTACAGGACTGTTTCATCCTCCAGTCTCCTAGGGTCTGTAAGAAAACTTCTTATCTATAGTTAGTGAGGTGAATAATTGTTAGACAACCGTGCCTCTATTCTCATTACATGACCTTCCCCACTCTTAGTTTCAGGCTGTGTTTAAGAGAGTGCCAATATATTCTTGATCTGAGCAAACTCATTTTTTTATCAGCACAGTGCTTACTAAAAATCAAAGGTAAAAACAAGTTTTAGGTTAAACCCTAAGTATTTTACAATTCTCACACTTTTGTCATCAATATTTTAAAGTTGGGATGAGCTATTTGACTCTTCTTAAAATCTTTTTCTTTTATTTTTATAAAATCTCCAGTTAATGAGTAATTAGATATTATTCATAGATGTCAACTATGCATTTCTAATTGCCTAAGACAAGGAATGTCAAAGAAGAGATTTGCTTTTTAATGAAACATTACCAAGAATATCTATAAATAATAACTGGTAAACTTGTTTATCCTCTCTAATTGTGCAATCAGCTGGACAAAAAAGTCTGTCAAGAAATTATTCTATAAATATTAAAATATTTAACTTCAGTTTTACAAATAGTTTTAATTCTGATTAATGAGAATATACATTTCATCGCCAAAGTGGAGAGATATTGTTTAATAAGTGATCACTATAACACTTAGATAACTAACTAGTTTATATCTGACATTCCCTCTGCAGAAAAACAAAATAACAATTTCATTATATTCTGCTTAATATGTTTGAAATAATACTGATCCACAGAATGTATTCTGATTTAAGGGAAGGTGAAGGTTATGGAAAATAAGGTGTTTATTTAAATTTGAAAAGCATACTATATTAAATTATAAAGCACTAATGAATCTTAGAGCAGATTTTAATTAACATCTAAAAGAGAATTCAGAAACAGGGAAGTGTCCAGAGTAAGACAGTAAATATAGTACTATATTGAAAGCATAAATCTTTTATTTATTTATTTATTTATTTATTTATTTATTCATTAGTTTTAATAAATCTTTATTGTTCAGATTATTACAATTGTTCCTCTTTTTGTCCCCCCTATAGCTCCCCTCCACCTAGGTCCCACTCCACCCTCTGCCCTTAACCCTCCTCCACTGTCCTCATACATAGGTGTACGATTTTTGTCCAGTCTTTTCCAGCACCCTCACACCTCTTTCCCCTAGAGAATTATCAGTCCACTCCCTTTCTAGGCCCCTGATTCTATTACAGTGGCCAGGTTATTCTGTTCATCAGATTTTTTATTCACTTGATTTTTAGAATCACTTGTTGATAGAATGTATTTGTTGTTCATAATTTTTATCTTTACCTTTTCCTTCTTCTTCCTCTTCTTAAAAAATACCTTTCAGCATTTCATATAATACTGGCTTGGTGGTGATGAACTCCTTTAGCTTTTTCTTATCCGTGAAGCTCCTTATCTGATATTCAATTCTAAATGATAGCTTTGCTGGGTAGAGTAATCTTAGTTGGAGGTTCTTACTATTCATCACTTTGAATATTTCTTGCTATTCCCTTCTGGCCTACATAGTTTCTGTTGAGAAATCAGCTGACAATTGTATGGGTTTTCCCTTGTTGGTAACTGTTTTTCTCTTGCTGCTTTTATTTTTTAAAAATATATCTTATTGATTTTTTACAGAGAGGAAGGGAGAGGGATAGAGAGTTAGAAACATCAATGAGAGAGAATCATTGATCAGCTGCCTCTTGCACACCCCCTACTGTGGATGTGCCCGCAACCAAGGTACATGCCCTTGACCAGAATCAAACCTGGGACCTTTCAGTCTGCCAGCTGATGCTCTATCCATTGAGCCAAACCAGTTTCGGCTCTTTTGCTGCTTTTAATATACCCTCCTTGTCTTTGCTCTTGGCATTTTAATTATGATGTGTCTTGGTGTGGTCCTCTTTGGATTCCTTTTGTTTGGGGTTCTCTGAGCTTCCTGGACTTGAAAGTCTATTTCTTTCACCAGGTGGAGGAAGTTTTCTGTCATTATTTCTTCAAATAGTTTTTCAGTATCTTACTCTCTCTCTTCTTCTGGCACCCTCATAATTCGGATGTTGGTATGCTTGAAGTTGTCCCAGAGGCTCTTTAAACTATCTTCATATTTTTGGTTTCTTTTTTCTTTTTTCTTTTCCAGTTGAGTGATTTTTACTTCTTTTATAATAACCATCCTAATGGATGTGAAGTGGAATCTCACTGTGGTTTTATTTGCATTTTCCTAATATCAAGGATGTTTAGCCTCTTATCATATTGATATACTTATTGGCCATTTGTATATCTTCTTTGGAGAAATATCTATTGAAGTGCTTTGCCCACTTTTGAATTTGGTTGTTTGTCTTGTTGTTAAATTGTGGAGTTCTTTATATATTCTGAATTTGAATCTCTTAACAGATGTATGATTTTCATGGAGTGTAATTTTTAATAGAAAGTTTCTAAAAACTATTTTATATATTTTCTGCCTATTTGTTTATATGGCTTTGTACATCTAAGAATTAATTTGGGTACATTTCATAACATATGATCATGTAAATAAGAGAAATAAAAATATTTTTTAAAATTCCTTGTTTCTAAAAGCACTAATCTTAGGTCACATTAATTTAAAATAAATCAAGTTTATATTAGAGGCTAACTAGCTAGCATAAGAGATACTAGTCCACTGGGAGATATAACACTCAGTGACACAGCTTTTATTCTGCAAATGAAATTAGAATGTCCATTTGGCTTTTATAGTTCTACAAATTTGAATCATTGAAGAAAATTTGCTCTCATTCCCCAGTGTGTATTTTTGCCCCTCAGTGTCCTCCTCATTTATTGAATAGAAGCTTTCCTTTGAGCTGAGAGTGATAAAGCAGGTAAATTATAAATTTAA